TCCTCCTTCCACTCCAATCCAAAGTCCTGTTCCCCTAGCCTCTCGCAGTGCACGGCGAACATACTCCGCCTCCTCAACTATGCACAACTTGGTATGGAGTTGGAGCTCTGCGATCACTAACACCGACGGTCCTTCTAGTCTCCCTACCACTTGCAATGACTACCTGTCTGTCGTGTGTAGTGAAGTCCCGCTCATGTCCTGTTGCTATCTCCCTCCGTTACCTTGTCCTCCGTTCTTTCGTCGTCTCCAGATTTTTCCTAAGCTCCTTTGCGCGATAGGTTTCTAGCCTTTACCCTCTCCAGAAAGTCTGATCTCCACGCCTGGATAATCTCTCTATCCTCCCTGAACAAACTCTCTAACTCTTTCGTCGCGAGATCAACCCTACGCAGCTTGCCCTCATCCTGGCACGACCCGATCTCCCTAATCTTGTTTCTCAACTCCTTTACCTAGTTCAAGAGTGACTCTTTAATGCGCTTTCTCACTCTTCTGACCGCCTCACTCTCCTCTTCTGGTTTGTCTAAATCGACCCTATCTGGTTTGTCTAAATCGACGCCATGGTCGTTTTGCCCAGCGTCAAGCATGTCTCTTAACGGTCTTTCGTCCTGTCCCCAAGGCTCTGCGTCGCTGAGGTGTTCCCAATCTCGATCATCGACGTCCCAACCAAGCTCCTCTCTATCTGGATATCCCCTGATAATGCTCCTCCAACTCCTTGATAGAAATGAGGGAAGCAGGCCTATCACCGGGAGTCTCGCTAAAGAGCCGTCCGACCCCCTCCAAACTATCCACTGGTCTCTGGACCTCCCTATCTAGTGCCAACCAGAACTCCAAGGGCTAGCCCGAGAAAAAGGAGTGGGGGTCTGTTATAGGCGCTAGAGTTCGTAAGAACTCAATGAGTTGTATCCCTCTCTCTCCAGTAAGAGGCCCGCCTACGAACTGTGCGTAGGCAATCCAGTCTCGGTCCGTCTGCCCTCTGGCTAGTTCGTCGACCTCTAGAGCCGCGAAATATCTCTCCACGACCTCTGGCTATGATCTAGGGCGGTCTAGGCCATCTGAAATCACCAAAGGGTAGGTCGACTCTCTCGATCTCCTCTACCATCTGCCTGCAGGATCTCTTATCTCTCTCTCACACTCTCCTGCCGAATCTTACGGCTAGCCTAGCTCGCACTGCGCGTCCACCGTGTCGTCCTCCTCCTCCTCGTCAACCTCACTCTCTGGGTCGGCCCAGTCCGGCTCCCAGGCGTCCTCGTCATCCTCTCGCTCCCAACCCTCATCGTCGAACTTGTCCTCGACGCGATACGACGCTTGTCCTATAGCCTGGTAATACTCCGCTAACTGATAGCCGTGTACCAGAGGTCGCCCAGCGTCCTCACTCCACCAGCTACCCCAGTCATCTGAGAAGAGTCTCCCGATGCAGGTCACATACTCGGGCCCTGCTCGGAGCTCACGGTCCAGCCAATCCCAAATGCACGGAGACTGGGGTCACTTGTCGTCTATCGAACGAATCAGCTCTATAAGCTGAACCCTCTCGTCTCCCGAACGAGGCCCACCGGTCGCAAGCGAATAATAGAGGTAGTCGAGGTCACCGGGCCCTCTCGCAAGGACCCTGAGATTCCGATAAGCTAAGTATGCCTCGACTACTCCGCCTATTCCTCCAAAAATGGTCTCTACAATAAACGCAGGGACTATCGCCCGCAGACTCGAAACGCTGTACGGGAAAAACCGGTCTCGCGCTATCACAAACTCGCTCGTGATATCAAGTGGAGAGCGTCCATGAAATAACGTCAACGGGTCGCTCGAGTCCTCCGTTCGGAAGGCGGCGACTTCATCCCTCAGGTAGCGTAAAGCCCTGCTAACCGCGTCACTAGTCCTAGTCGTCGTGAGGCTTAGCACGGCCTCCTTGACCACGCCCGCTCCTAAGTACAGGTAGGCTCTCACTACGCCTCCCCCTTGCCCAGGCCGGTGCTCTCTATGCGTCCAAAGCCACACGTCCGCAGACAAGACAATGGACTTCTACGCAAACTGGTCGTCAGCATATCGGGTGCTCCGTGCGGGAATCGTGAGCTCCACCAGATCCCCCTCTATGAGCTCCGAGGGCTCCACGTCCCAAGCGGTGCTGGCCTCGTAGACCTCCACCTGCGCTTGCGGCCACATCCAACTGATGGCGAGAGAGAACGTAGTAAGAGGGATGGGTAGAGAAAGCGAAAGATAGCAGAAACAGGCTGTCGTTTCTAGGAAAATTTTGGCAGCGCTTCGCCTTCCTTCGTTGGGAGCCCCGATAATACGCTGTCTATCTATCCCCAATCCATCCCAAGAGTCCCCTAATAGTCAAAGGGCGGATTTCTGGCCCTAAACAAAGCAAACAGGCCCTACAGCCAAGTTCCCTCGAATACAAAGCGTGTGCTCTGTTCGAGAGAACGCTGCCTGCGGCTGCTCCGATCACCCCTCTAGAGTAAAGATATCACCCTATATCTAAGAACCGAAATTACAAGGCCGTCACCGTCTTTCGGCTATTTTTCTAAGCCATTTTTATATTTTTAAGGAACTTTGATAAATTTATATTAATAAAAATTACTTTTAATCTTCAGAAACCTACTAGCCCTCCACCACTGCCTAGGGGCTTACAAGGTTTCCCCTAGAGAGTAGCTCGGCAAGTTTGTTTCTCTTTCCGACACTCACTAACTATTTATTTTGAATTTATATTATATAAATACCAAATAAATAAATTTCGTCTGGGAAAATCCCGTCGCCGTACCCAACCCCTAAAAGGGGGTAACGGAACATACTTGAAGCTTTTTCTTTCTAATTCCCTTTCCCTTTTCCTATCTAGGAAATTTTTTTATGTTTCACTCTATTTTATTTACAAAAATTATGTTTATGCAGGATATACCCCTTTTTTTATGTTACCTATATTTTATTCCTTATATATGTTTCTACGCAAAATTGCGAGAGATGGTTTACTGCCCTTTTAATATTCATTAATTCTATACCGAACATTTCGTTGTATAGGTATAAGAAAAAACTCTCATTTCCCCTTCCCCACTGTTTGGCGAAGATAACACTTATTTCTTTTCGTTTTCTTCTTTGTCTACTTGGTCCACTTTCCACCCGCTTTCTCCTTTCCTCTTCCCCTCTATTCGGCGAAGATTACACTTATTGTTTTTCGTTTTCTTCTTTGTCTACTTGGTCTACTTTCCACCCGTTTTCTCCTTTCCCCTTCCCCACTGTTCGCCGAAGATTACACTTATTTTTTTTGGTTTTTTTCTTTGTCTACTTTCCACCCGTTTTCTCTTTTCCCCTTCCCCACTGTTCGGCGAAGATTACACTTTTTTTTTTTCGTTTTCTTCTTTGTCTACTTGGTCTACTTTCCACCGGTTTTCTTCTTTCTCCTTCCCATCTGTCCGGCAAAGATTACACGTTTTTTTTCTTCGTTTTCTTCTTTGTCTACTTGGTCTACTTTCCACCCGCTTTCTACTTTCCCCTTTCCCACCGTTCGGCGAAGATTACACTTATTTTTTTTCGTTTTCTTCTTTGTCTACTTTCCACCAGTTTTCTCTTTTCCTCTTCCCTTATGTTCATCGAAGATTACACTTATTTCTTTTCGTTTTCTTCTTTGTCTTCTTGATCTACTTTTCATCCGTTTTCTCCTTTTCCCTTCCCTACTGTTCGGCGAAGATTACACTTATTGTTTTTCGTTTTCTTCTTTGATTACTTGGTCTACTTTCCACCCACTTCCTCCTTTTCCATTCCCCACTGTTTGGCTAAGATTACACTTACTTTTTTTGTTTTTTTCTTTGTCTACTTGGTCTACTTTCCACCCGCTTTCTCCTTTCTCCTTCACCACTGTTCGGCGAATATTACACTTATTTTTTTTCGTTTTCTTCTTTGTCTACTTGGTCTACTTTCTACCCGCTTTCTCCTTTCCCCTTCCCCACTGTTCGGCGAAGATTACACTTATTTTTTTTCGTTTTCTTCTTTGTCTACTTTCCACCCGTTTTCTCCTTTCCCCTTCGTTGTGTTTGGATAGTATCCTCCACATAAGTGGATCATCATGCACACGTAGGCTGAAAATCCTAATGACACGAGAGAAAGAGACAATTGAGATGAATGATAAACCATAAAAAGCAGACAATTGCACTCTCTTTTTCCTGCACCAAGATAGTAACCACGAGCATGACATGTTAATGCCAGCTCCCACCTGTCCGTCCTGCGGCTTTCCCTTACGCCGCGTTTCGATCAGTCGCCGACCGATCTCATCATGGGGGTTCCCGATCCTCAATCCAAAAGGCCGACAAATATTTCAGATGTAAGTTATATATCCGCGTCTGCATGCGGCCGTTGTGTTATTACTAACTTCCATTTTTTCTATTTTAGATTTTTTTCATTTTTTCATTCGCAAGATTCGTTTTTTGACATCTACTCCTCTGGCATCGACTCTCAGCCTGGAGTCTGAAAAAGGTCCGGTTTCCCAAACTCGGAGTGCCCGAGTTCAAAACTCGTGTGTTTCCTTTCTGTCAGTCCGTTCTGTCCTCTGCAGCTGTTCAGGTTCAGTCCAGTTACATCAGCCCAGAGAGACTCATTTCGCTCACCCCCGCTGTCCTCTCTCTCTCTCTCTCTTTCTTTCTCTCTCTCTCTCTCTCTCTCTCTCTCTCTCTCTCTCTCTCTCTCTCTCTCTCTCTCTCTCTCTCTCTC